AACCAACCATTGACATTATTGATACATCAACTCAAGAACGACGAATAGTGAAACGAAAACAAGAGGAGACCGAGGGAAATTATGGTAGAGAAAACAATCATAATAAGTCAGCTGCAGGTGGCGATTATCCGCCGTATCTTTTGCGTGAACTTGCACCACTCAATGAAATTCGAAAACGAACGTATTCTCATTGGCAACTCATATCGCCTACAGGGTCACAGATGATTGAAAGTGGATTTTTCAATTGTAACGTGGGCGATAGAGTAATTTGTATTTATTGTAATCTTGTATGTCAACAGTGGATGCTAACTGATGACCCAAGTGAGATTCATAAATTACTCTCACCCGACTGCTGTTTTGTTAAGTCAAACCTGGTATATTCCACGACACCAACACGTACTATCCTCTGTGAAACGGCTGGTGTCCCGACAGATTGTGAGATTGTACGCATTCAGGCATGTAACCAACAATTCATGGAAATTCCCAAACGACATGCAACATTCGCTACATGGCCGGCGGAAGCGCCGCTGCAATCAATTGACGATCTCGTTCGAGCAGGTTTTTTCTATACAGGTACAAAAACGATTGTCACCTGTTTTTATTGTAATGGCTCATTGCAGAATTGGGGTGAAGACGATAATCCAACAATTGAACATGCGCGATGGTTTCCGCAATGGTAAATATTAATTTTCTAACCAGAAAAACAACAACGATGATTTTAAATTTTTTCTAAGCCCCTATGTGCGACAATTGTGCGGAGACGATTTATTTCAAATCAGGCTATCCAAAGCTTTCATTTGGGTTTCTAAACTAAATCAAGTGAATCTTCTGGTAATTTTTAGTATAAAAAACAGTTAAAAAAGAAACATTTCGTTTTCTTTCCTTATAACTTCTTCTCAATGGCGGCAGCTAGTACAGCATATTCAGTATCATATTCGCTCCTTGATAAGCCAAAACAGACAAGTGATGCTTATTATAAGACATATGGAAAATTTATTGAAATAGTCAAAAAGAATTTGTTGAAAAAGGAAGAACCAACCATTGACATTATTGATACATCAACTCAAGAACGACGAATAGTGAAACGAAAACAAGAGGAGACCGAGGGAAATTATGGTAGAGAAAACAATCATAATAAGTCAGCTGCAGGTGGCGATTA